ATCTGATAGTATATTTAAATATTAATATATTAATTTTGGCCAAGATATCATACTTTTATTGTTTGATTTGATAAATGTGAAGAATTTAATATGAGAGGCTAACAATAAGATCATGATGCGTACTTTTTAGACGCCAATTATGATTCTTTGGCTTTATACCAATAAGATCGGCGGTTTAGATTAAAAGAAGTTTTGATCTTAATTGGGATACTTGAGACGGGTTTGTATAAGAGCAAAGGGTTGTTCGAATTACAAAGAGTTGTGAGCACACAACTAACTTACACCTGAATTATTGAGGATCACACTTCTTCTCACGGGAATTTCTTAACATAGTGAATTGAGAATTTGAGATCAAAGTTGTTAATCTTAGCATGATTGGAGGTCAATAAGATTGAATCCGAGATTCGTAATAGTCGATTGCGAATTAGAACGATGAGAGGAAAGCGTTCCCATAGATAGTAAGTGGACTTTCCAAATTGAATTTTTTTCTAAATCGCAGGTGCATTGAATTAGAAGTTTTCAATTTTGGAAATTGAAAAAATGCAAATGGTACTTGAATTAACGAGAAAGTTATACTCGCAATGAATATGTAATCGCTATATTTTTCGGAAGTACAATTAGAGAGATATTAGAGTTTGAAGAAGGGTTCTTCAAAATCCTAATAGGCTCGAGCTTAGACTGCTAGGTCAAGTAAATGACTTGGCTAACAAGTGACAATAATTACCCGTAAATAAGAGACTTGGGGTTAAGGAATTAACACACAACATTCACCGAACCCCTACAGCCGCCCGCCCCTCCCTTCTCTCATATCCCTCTCGGTTGCTGCCGCCATCCGTCATCGGCCAACGCCCCCCACCAGCCATCTTCTCGTTTGTTCATTCGCCGCATTAGCCTAATTTTATTTCTAATGCAATAATTCCATTGAAACTCCACTTTCAAGGTGAAACATAATCCCGGTGATTGAAGATGGAGATGATTGTTCCCACGAGGACTACAGTATGACCACAACCAGGTTCGAAGGAGCTTACGTATACCATGTACGCCCTCGAAAATTGTAATGTTTGATTTATTAAACATTCGAGCATGCTATTAGTTTAATCATTTTAATTCAAATACATGATTTACGTGCTTCGTATGTACGTAATTATTTATAAAATTGGTTTATAGAATTCACATGATTACATATTTTTTTAAATTCCACAGCATTGAAGTGCATGCTTTCCCAACAGAGAAACCCGACACGAATTTGATGTAGCAGAAGGGTCAACTTTGGAAATTAAACTTCTTCAATTGACAATAATTTAATTTTTGTGCCATATATGGTTTGAAAGATCTTGAAGTCTAGCTTCCAAAATTGTCCAAAGTCAACCAACTAGACTCGGAAAAATTGACAACTTTGTGATTTTTTGTATTTCTGCCAACACAGTAATTTGTCCATTATTTTTTGCCATTGGTATTTTTGCTTGATATGTGGCTGCTTGGATAAGAGTTGGTAGCAACAGCTTAAGCATGCATACAACAATGGCAGGTAACTAATGCAATTTTCATCTTCAAGATTCTCTAATATAGACTTTTATTTCTAGTCATATATAATCATACATAGATATGTAATGATATATGGTCATGCACAAATTGTAATTTTTTTTCTCTAATGAATAATGATGATGATAATTTTATTAGTTGAAAACTCTAATTATGTTTTTTTGGATTTATATTGTGGGCTGCAGGTTTAATTTTTTTTTTTTTTTTTTTTTTGAATAAAAAGACATATTATTAGACGACATCCGTCAAATTCATAGGAAGGTTGAAGCCCTCCAAATAGTCGATACAAGGAATTTTAGCAATAGAATGAGTTAAAGAGTTGCCTGCACGCTTGATGAACATAAAATTACACGAGTGATCCAAACAACGAAAATTCAGCTTCTCCATTACGAAGGGCGTTGATTACTTGGATACAATCTCCTTCCAGAATGACGTTCTCCCATCCCTTTTCCTTTGTCCAAACAATAGCAAGTTTACTTGTACTATCAAGATCCAAATTGTGATTTTTTTTGCAGTGGTGTTGATTGATATTTTTTGTACATAATAGGCTATATTCATTTTTTTTAACAGGATATAAATGATTGTACACTACCCTATATAATCGAGTATATTATTTTAAGTTTGGAAATATACAAAACGATAATATAAAGAAGGGCAAATTGCAAAAAAAAAAAAAAAAAAAAAAAAAAAAACAAACACCCATGAGAAGGGCACTTAATTAAAAATAGACATCTTTTTTTTTTTTCAAATATATCCACTCCATTTAAACTTATCTCCTAATAAGGAAAATTCTTTCATATATACCAAAACTACCCCCAACTCCGTCAGACCCTAATTCAACTACAATTTCACGATTTAAACCCTAATTTAGCATCAATTTCACCAATTAACCAATTTTAACCTTTATTCAAATTTTGAAAGCCAATTTTGACCACCGGTCAGCTGTCGTTGACCGCTTGTCTTCAGCGTTGACTTTTTACTTTTTTTTTTCTTTTCGAAAAACTATTTTCATTAATATTTATTGTCTTGTCCTGCAATACTAATGTCTCAAAGACATTAATATTACTTTGTCAATATTAATATTATTGTCCTAACTGCAATATTACTGTCTCAGACAATAATAATATTGTTAAGACAATAATATTAATATTGACATAGTAACAATAATGCACTAATTAATTTTTCGTTTTGGCCTTAATACTAATAATAATAACTGTGTTAATATTAATTTATTGTTTTGGCCATCAATATTACTTATTACTGTCTCAGACATAAATATGTTGTTAACAACAGTAATTTAAGGGAAAAAAGGTTTAATTTTTTTTAACTCCGGAAACTTCAAAAAAAAATCAACACAAATTTTATTTTCTTAGAAGAAATGTTTTCAAAAAATTGTGAAATGGTTATTAATGTGATATATTTGTTTAAATCCATGGTTAATTTGTAATATTGGTGAAATTAGAGTTTAATGGATGACTGTGATTTAAATTATACAATGAGGGTATTATAGGAAAAAAATGAGGATGTGTTTATTTACGAAACTGCTTTTGGTTTAGACATATGTGCATTTAAGTCCTCCTTGGAGTTATGCAATTCGCTCTATAAAGCGCTCTATAAAGAAAGAACATGACTATCATTGACTTTGGTCAACTATAGTCATATTCGACGAAGAAAAACTTGAAGGGTAAAATGATTGGAAAAACAAAAAAAAAATTTAAAAAAATTTATGAGAATAAAAGAAAATGGGGTTTGAAAAATGATTAATGCTATAATAGAATTGCTAACGCATACGAAATCGATAAATCCAGATTACACAATTACTGATGCAGTATGCAGATTTATGTAAGCAATGAGCAAATTTGAAATAAAAATTGCTAGAAGTATACAAAGAAAGATTTTAGGAGTACAACTAGTGCTATTTCTTAATGCTTTGAAAAACCTATAAATCTTATTAATAAAAGTAAGGTTGCTCCTGCTAAACCCTAGGAAATTTTTCCCGCTCCTTTGATAGTTATAATTTTTATTTATTTATTTAATTATATATTTTTATTATTTAATTTCATTTAATATAATCAAGGTTAATAAATCTACTAAGAATCCAGATTTTTTGACCCTAGATCCACGTAACTTATTAATAAAAGTAAGATTGCTCATGCTAAACTCTAGGAATTTTTTCCCGCTCATTTAATAGGTATAATTTTCATTTATTTATTTGATTATTTATTTTAATTATTTATTTTTATTTAAGATCTTTTTAATAAAGTAAGGTTGTTCCGGCTAAACCCTAGGAAAATTTTTCCTGCTCATTTGATAATTATAATTTTCATCTATTAATAATACGATTTTATTGTTTTATTATATTATTATAATCAAGTTTAATAAAGTCGTTAAGTATCTAGACTTTATGACCCCAAATCTACGTATCTTTTCTCACTAAAATTGTCATTTTACTTGATATTAATTTGATGGAAAAAATATTTAATTGTTTAGATAAACATTTGGTTCTTATCTTATTAATAAAAGTAATATTTTTCCACTAAAATTGTTATTTTACTTAATATTAATTTGATGGGAAAAATATTTAATTGTTTAGAAAAACATTTGGTTCTTATATCTTATTAATAAAAGTAAGGTGGCTCCTGCTAAACCATAGGAAATTTTTCCCGCTCACTTGATAGTTATAATTTTTATTTATTTATTTAATTATGTACTTTTATTATTTATTTTCATTTAATATCTTATTAATAAAAGTAATATTTTCTCACTAAAATTGTCATTTTACTTAATACTAATTTGATGGGAAAATTATTTAATTGTTTAGAAAAACATCTGGTTGTTATCTTATTAATAAAAGTAAAGTTGCTCTCTTATTAATAAAGGTAAGGTAGCTCCTGCTAAACCATATGAAATTTTTCCAGTTCATTTGATAGTTATAAATTATAATTGTCATTTATTATTAATTAATTAATTTTATTGTTTTATTATATTTAATATAATCAAGTTTAATAAATCCGTTAAGTATTCAAACTTTTTTGCCCCAAATTTACGGGTTTTTTTACACAAAAATTGTCATTTTTACTTAATATTAATTTGATGGAAAAATTAGTTAATTGTTTAGAAAAATATTTGGTTCTTATCTTATTAATAAAAGTAAACTTGCTCCTTATAAACTCTTGAGATTAAATGACATCATTGATTTACAGTAAATTTACTGAAGTCTGCTATAGATGATAAAGAAGAAGATTCGTCAAACTTTAACATTAACTGAGATAAGATAAATATACAACCATATTACATCAAAAATATAAAGTTAAATTAATAAATATGACAAAAAAGTTTATGGATGGGGATTAGCATCAATATGTATAGCAAAATATCAAAATTAATTGAAACTTCAATTTTGTCGTTTAAATTGAACTTTACTTCAACCCCGTGCATCGCACGGGCCAAAACTCTAGTAAAATTAACAAAAAATACTATAAAGGACATAATAGGCACCGCATAAAAGTTGAGAACAAAAAAGAGATTCATACTTTTATAAGGGAAAAAAATAATAAAAAAGAAAAATAAAAATAAAAATCGATTCCTCATGAAGCCGCATATTCCAGGCATCAGCTGCCGCCTACTTCTTCCGTCACAAATTATTTCCTCAAGTGGACCCCACCATATGTGGGCAAGCCACTATATTTGAATAGCAGCCTCAATCTTAGCATTGCTAAATGAAGTACCCAAGTCCATTTCCAAGACTTCACCACTCTCAAAGAAGTCATAATGAAGAGCTTTTACGCACTCTTCTGCTTCACTGTCGTTTACTACTAGTGACATGTTCACCTGGTTCGTAAACATATAGTCGTTTGTCACACAAACCATAACACAAACAATATATTATATTGTGTGTGTGTGTGTGTGTGTGTGTGTGTGTGTGTCTTTTTTTCAATTTTGTGGTAATAAACGAACCTTGGAAGCTCCTTGAGAGATCATCTGGACGTTCACGTTAATTTTCCCGAAAACGTTGAAGGCCTGACAATCACAAACCAATTCTTTATTCGAAGGGGGAAATGAGAGGATATATTTATTAAATAGAAGAAAACGGGATTTTCATGATGTGGAAAACCTTTTCTAAAATTAAGGAAGAATATTGGATGTTTCCAATGAGAGAGATGATTGATCTGTGAGGCAGAAGTTTCACTATTGCAATTTTTCCAAGCTCTTCAGCCACACGATCAAGTTCCTGCTTATAATTGTGTAACAAAAAACATATCCATTTATCACTGTCAGTCCTCTCATTAGTTAACTGAACCATGGTTAAAGACAGAGAAGATGATAGTTAACTTGCCTGCTTGATTAATTCTCTGCTCCAAATTTTGGAGGGATCGAGCGTTAGAGATATACTGACTTCACTAGTCGCAACAACATCCACAGAGATATCAAGATCTTCGAATATTGCAAATACCTGGCAGAAAAAAAAAGAAAACTAAAATATTTTGTTTACGATGAAATGAAACCATTCATATAGTCTGATAAGTAAAGATAATTTACATTAGAAACCTTTGCAAGGAAGCCAAACTGACCCAACATACGAGTGCTAACTATATCGAGCATCAAAACATTCTGCTTCAGGACAATACTTGTAAGCAGAGCCTGTTGTTTTTATTCAGCATTAATTAAAAGGTCAGTGCTTTGAGAAGTGAGATATATATATATATATATTTAATCTAAATAATAAATATAGAGTGGGATATTCAACCTTGGTCATGTCTCTATTTCCAGTAATGAGAGTTCCAGGAGCTTTAGGATTGTAAGAGTTCTTCACCCTAACTGGAATATTACCATCCATTGCTGGTCTCATTGATTGTGGGTGCAATACCTGCAGAACCAAATTTGGCTTCATAACCAATATATATACATGTGTGTGTGTGTGTGTGTGTGTGTGTGTGTGTGTGTGTGTTTCAAATCGATCTATGGAAATGCATAATTTCAGGGAGGCAGTCATGTATGTAGCATACAAATCATGTTTTATTCTGCCTTAATTCTCCCTAACGAGAAAACTGCGTTCAACTATAGTATGGAAAGACTGCACCCATTCTCCACCTTTTCAAATGTCAGTTGTCACCAGAAACTCAACATCAAAATCAAAGAAACAATGAGTGAAAGAATCAGCAGAATTACTTTTATTCAAGAAAGATCTGAGTAAGTTAACTATATACATCCAACGGTAAATTAAGAAACAACAGAGGAGCCAGTTCGGAAATAGACAATCAAGAAAGTCTAAGAATATAATAATAACCTGAGCTCCAAAAAAAGCAAGCTCTGCTGCCTCTTCAAATGTCAAATAGGGCACAGGTTTGGCACCTGCATGAATACTAGGATCACAGGTGAGAACACCATCTACGTCTTTCCATACCTGTCAAAATTTGAAAAATATATTTATTTCATCAAACAATACCAAATAGTTATCATAAGGTTGTCTTCACAATTAAAGCTTACCTGAATCTCTCGTAAACCCAGAGCTTTGCCAATGGTGGTAGCTGTCAAGTCACTACCGCCTCTGCCCAAAGTGGTAATTTCACCAGAATTACATCCCTGAAGAAGGAATTAAACAACATCTTTTAATAATTTGAACAACTTCCCTATTAGGAAATAATATGGCGCTGTTAATATAATTGTGTTACAACCTTTCCAAGGAAACCAGTGACTATGGGAACTGCATGATCATTAGTCGAGTCGTTGTATAATTTACTGGCAACAGAAGGATAAGTTGCTTCCAGAATTTCTGCATTTGTGAAATCATCCGTTGTGACAAACCCGATATCAAATGCATCATACTGCAATATATGTGGAAAAAACATTAAGTTCGATTTACAAAGAGCTGAGATCTCACATCATACACTGAAAATAAATTTAATCTTATGAGCACGTTTTTAAGCAAAACAATAATTTTTCAAGCATGTTTTCATGAAGTGATGCAGTAAAAATCATGATTTAGAAGGCTGTCTAGTGCAAGCTAATTTATAATATAAACAAGATTTTGCAAATCACTAAACAAGTGGCAAAAATATAAAGTCAACCTATTAAAATAACACTGCCCCATTATTAGTTTACGCACATAATAATAATAAGCACCAGTCAGAATAAAATGCTCTCTGAGCATTGGAACTTCTCATTTCCTCACCAAGTTAAGAAGCCAAATGTATGAACATGCATGAATGATTCTCTAATTTATGATAAAAATAAGGGGTGTGATAAATGTCCTTTTAGCTTTAATAATACCGTTTCAACTTCAAACGTGATTTTGCACATTTTCAAGTCTGACTTAGGCAAAACGCAAAACTCAAACCACAGAAGTTGAAGTTCTTCGAGTTAGCTTTCTAACCCAACTTCAATCACCAAGATTGGATGTCGGATGGGAAAGATATGCATGAATCAATGAACATTGCCCACAAATTTGATATTCTGAGATATCTAAAATTCAAAATGTAACCCATTCATGCATAACTTTGTCACCCGACAGCTAATAGCTGATTCAAGTTGGATTAGAAAGTTAACTTAAAAGCCTACAAATTTTGTGTTTTGAATTTTGCCAAAATCAGACTAGAAAAGGGTCAAAATCTCATTCGAAGTCAAAATAGTGTTATTAAAATTGAAACGACATTTAACATTTCCGTAAAAATAATCATGTGGTGGTGCAACAAAGCTAGCCCAGGTAGTATATATTTTATTCCTATTCTATTATTGGGTCGGTTGGATAATTCTCATCAGGAAAAAGGTAAGAGGTGTACGGACATACTTGGCGTGCTTTAGTGCCGATGCTATTTAAATAAGCAGCAAAGATTCTGGTAGACATGCACTCTCCAAACGACATAAGTTTGTCTTGAGTCCGAAGAGTCAGCTCCTTCAATCGAGCGATACCATTCAAAAGCATCTCCAGTTCTTCTAGCTGTCCTAAAAAGAGTAGATGAAGAATTTAGGGGCATAGTAACACTGTCTAAAGGTGCTGTTATGACAAGCCAACAAAATGTATTCTGTAACAGTTTCATCTCACGAAAATTGATTCTTATACATTCCAAATGTTGCATCGACATTCTATATATACTTAAAAGGAAACAGTTCTTCAGTAAAATAAAGACTATTGAAAACTAATTTGTTCGTCATGTAAGAGAAAACACTTGATTCCTGGCATGAAATGCAACATCGATAAATGAACAAAATTCTTGAGCAACTGATGAGAAAATTTCATAACTAGAACGACATTTTAAAGCTACTTTAAACCTCGGTGATAAAGATAAAAAGCCGACATTAACCAAGCCAGTTTTTGTTCATAACAAAATATGAAACCGAAACCCGAAACCGAAATACCAAAAAAGAAAACAAAAAACCATCCACCTAAATGTACACTTCTATGAAAGAAAACTAACATTGAAACCAGAATCGATTTCTCACCAGATATAACAGAACCATCTAGTCCAAGCTCTTCCACCGTCCTGGAAAACATACACAAAAAATATTTATTATAACAATCAAATTAGCCACTAGCTATTTTGCAATACCAAGTTAAATACACCTTATGAATGATGCATTGATTAAGGTCCAATATGCAAAATACACACACAAAACACAATTATCATCGACATTTATGTTGCGTAGAATCGAAGTTCCAATAACAACCAACTCTGATTAACAAAAAGTAAACTAAAAAAATCACCTAAGATGCAGTTCTTTTATGAAGACCAACTCTTCAATCTCCGACACTTTATCAAATCCACAGCCGATCGCCTTCTCTCCTGCCTATAAATCGATCATTATATCACTCCAATAACTAAAAATTGAAAAAAAAAAAAACAGCTATTTTGCATAACCAAGGAGCAGCAAGTAAATTGCACGATTACATACGCGAATGAGATAATTTGTGGACTTTCCCATGGCAGAGAGAACAATGATCGGATTTTCGTCGGGAAAGCTAAGAATGAGATGAGCAACCTCTCTCATCCTCTCCGCCGACGCCACGGAGGAGCCGCCGAACTTCATGACGCACGTGAATGCCGCGGCGGCGGTTTCCCCGTCGGAGAAACTACTAGCTTCTTCAAACGCGGCGGCATCCTCATATCTCTTGCTATAAACCGTGAAAAGCGGCGACGCTTTTTGATCGGCGAATAATCGGGAACGGGAAGCCAAATCAACGATTTGGTGGTTGCCGAAGCTGAAGGGGGAAGAGTGTGAAAAACGAGGGTTTTGATTGTCGAATCTACAGCACCAAATTCTGGGGTTTAATGAGTGACATGAAATCGACATTTTTTCTTTTTTTTAGTGTGAGTTGGAAGAGAGAGAGAGAGAATCGTCAACCTTGTCAAACAGACTAAATTAAGGGAACGAAAAGTCAGAGGGGATGGATGAAATGCTGCACTAAATCATTTACAAAATCAGATATGGATGATTGGATTTGGTCACGATTAATTTAATTTTATAATGGGAATAAATAATAATATATTTTTATCTATTTAGTATAGAAATTTAAACAGTCTTTTTTAATAATTCGATTGCGTTAATTATTTTTGAAATGTTTGACTTTATTATGAACATGTTGATTTTGTTTATGCGGTGATTTGGTAATTTAATAACTGTTGATTACGGAATTTAATATAAATTTAAAATCATTCATTTTTCCAATTCATCACTTTAACCATAAATGGCAATATCATGATTTTCTATTAATTAATACTAGTAATTTCACACGTTATTGAAAAAAATTAATGCAAAGGTGAAGTAAATTTACTAAAAGAATCCGTTATACTTCAAAAGACATCTTAAAGTTTTATGTAAACATCTTGTTTCACTCAGTAACTCCTTTCGTGTAATGCACGACATATATATTTTTGATATATAATTTTTAAATTATGTGCATGCATACGATAAATTATAAACATAGGAAATGAGGGAAAAATTATGTGCATGCACGTGAAAAAATAAAAATAAAAATTGAACACATCATACAAAAATGAGGGAAAAATTAACCCTCAATTCTCAAAACACCAAGAGGAAGGGAAATCACAAACTTTTGGTACAGGGAATGTTGTAAATAAATTTTCCAACAGTCAAGTACAAAAATAAAGATATCCAATTTAATAGAAAATTATATTATAAGAAAACTTGAAGAGTATTCAAAACATATATTGAGATAAGCGCAATTCGAGCATAAGTTACTTGAGAAATAGCTCAACTAACTCCAGTTATAACGGAAACTCAAAATATACAAATAATTATATCAGTGTTTGCATGTGTATGAACTTAACAAATAAGAAAAAGTACCACCGGCATCACAAGAGGCAGCAAGGCACCAACAATTTTCGTAGAATGTAATTACTTAATCAAATTAATCCCCTTCAATAATGGGTTGGGAGGGCTGTAGCCCCAAGATTAACTTTTTTTTTTTAGCTATTTTGTAGTTCATTTATATATATATATATATATATATATATATATATATATATATATATATATATATATATATATATATATATATATATATATATATATATATAACATAATAAAATGGTGAAAACTAGTACTATTTTTAATAAAAAAATCTATAAATATGTAATATTTTTTATTCTTTTATTATTACCGTTAAAAAATAATGTGGAATGGTGTTTTGAAATCCTTACGATATTAAATGCCATACATTATTGAAATAATTTGGATTAATTAGTTTTTTTTTTCCGGTTGCTTGAAATATAATAAGATTATAATATGTACTATTTAAATGAAAATTTAACAATACAAACATCTTTTTGCAGTGTTTTGTGAACCTAATTTTTTTTTTAGGGTGCTGCCCTGAAACCACAAAATTTAACACCCCCCCTCCCCAACTATTGATCCTGGGTCTACTCCTGCTTCAATAGCGAAAAATAAGTGAATTTTAATAAAATATAAAACAGACGTAGCATTAGATTATACAGCGACATTGAAGACACACTCCCAAGTGACTGCAACGACATTAAATAACATAGAGAGAAAATTAGATCGAAGATATGATGGAAAATAACAGAGAAAATAGAGAAAAAATATAAAAAAATAAAAAGAAAATTAGCAAACATAGTTCTTGGTAAGTTCTCCAAACTCCAAAGTTAAGTATCATATAGTAAAAAATCAGCAAACCAAAAATAAAAATAACACATGCATATATATTCTAAAAACAAATTTGTTTCAAACAACAACAACAAAATAATATCGATGTGGAGCGTTTTTTGGCCTCGAAACATAATAAAGAGTGGCAAATTCAAGAGAGCAGAAGAAAAATATATTAAACAACAAAATATATTATTTGGACTGATGAAATATTGAACATAAAAAATGATTTATGGGTGACAAATAGACAAAGGAAAAGGCTCGAACAATTTGTAGAATTCGAATATAAGTAATGTCCACAAATTAATCTCTTATACAATTTCATATGTTTAGCCACATGAAATCAGTTTCATCAATCCAAATACAGAAACATGTCACTAAATAGTACCCAAAAAAATATTAAAAAAAAAGATCGTTAAAAAATAAACGGTAAGAGTCTAAGATATAAATAATCAGTTGTTGGCATCATTTGAAACACCGTGTTGATGCGAACCCCGTACAACTTGTTACAAGATCCAATACATGATGCAGAAGCAAGATGGAAACATGAAAAAACAAGGAATCAAAGAGGGTGGAACCGCGACCCGTTGCCTATAAACAGACAAGAATATTGGTATGTGAAGACGCAACAATCAATTGTAAAAGATTGATTGATAAGTCGGGGTGAACGCACAGAATCCTCCGATAGGCTCGAAAAATTGTTTAAAGAACTAAAGAGAAAAATCTTAATTTCTTAATATAAATTTGTCCCCGAATCCGCACACATTTCAAAAGATGTATATATAAATCCTTGTTCATCAAACCACTGTGATTGCTGACAAATTCATTGTTAGCCATCCGAAGAAAATGTCATCACATCCGTCATTACTAGAACCGCCTTCATTTTCATGGCACCAATAATACAGAGTATTCTTTCTTTATGTTATGTCACCATATTCTTCAGCTTGCATTGAAAGAGTTGCAACCGGTTAGTTCGGCACCAGCTTCGATGCAACATGGTTGGATCATATCATTCTCCGATCCACCTCTTCAAAAGGATTCGCCCATTAATCCGAACCTTCTTTTTCTTCCCCATCGAACTCAATCTCATTAATCTCATTTACTCTTCCTCAACTATCGAATCAACAATTCTCAAATTTGCTGGAGTGTTCTCGTCCTCAAAAGATTTACGAGTATCATCATTTCCAAGTGATGGAAAAGAATGACTCTTTCTCTTCAATTCCCTGTAGTCCGACCATATATTCATGAATGGCTTATTCAAACAATCTGAAGCAACTTGACCAAAACGAAAACACCAAAAATATTTAGTTTCATTGATTCTACAAGACTTAAAAATTGAGTTACCTCGTTCCTTCGTCTCGAATTGAAGCTCGATTTTGAATTGATCTCTTTTAGGTCTTTGTAACGATTCTCCCACTTGGCTCGTTGAAGATCTCCATTGTGATTCCCAACTCCGTCAACGGCTTTCTTCTAACTTATTTATATGGAATGAGCAAATTAAGGACTACGATGATCTACGATGAACAACCAAATCTCGCTCGTAATACTCAGAATGACCTCTACTTGATGTATACAATCTCGAACATCATCCATACTCTCCTTCCTTGATGTGCAAGCGATCACACCAAAACTTCCATCATCATTAACCTATTTATCGCGGTGAGGTATAACAGGTTGGTGAACATCACGTCTTACATGCGGCTTCCGAATAGGTCGATCTTTACGTCGTTCATATAATTCATCTTGAATTCGTTCCATTCGATTGTGGAGTCCCTCAATTGCTTTAAATAAGGGTTGGAAGCGTTTCTCCATTACCGACATCGTACGCTGCTCAATTATTTCTCATTTATCATCGGCCTTCTCGGACATGATCAAAGCTATTTTTTTTTCACTTTTGTGACACTTATAAATACCCTAACTTTGGGTGGGAAGAACTTGAAACAACCAAAATGTGATTTTATTTTTCTTTTTGAAGAAGACTTCTGATAACACAACTCAAGAAAAGAGGAGATAGACTAGAAAACACAACTATAAAAATAAAGATAGGTGAAACCTGTTTTGGCTGTTGGCTCTGATTACCAACTGATATGATCTCCCTAGAACTTGTTACGAGACTCGATACCTGATGCAGAAGCAAGATGGAAATATACAAAATCAAGGAATCAAAGAGGGTGGAACTGCGACCCGTTGCCTATAAAGAGACATGAACCTTGGTATGTGAAGGCGCCACAATCAATTGTGAAAGATTGATTGATAGGTTGGAGTGAACGCATGGAATCCTCCGATAGGCTCGAAAAGTTGTTTAAAGAACTAAAGAGAATAAACTCAATTTATTAATATGAATTCTTCTCGGAATCCACACAAATTTCAAAAGACGTATATTTAAATCCTTGTTCATGACCAGTCATTATGATTTCTGAAAAATTCATTGTTAGCCCTCCGAAGATGTCATCACATCCGTCATTAGTAGAACCGCCTTCATACTCATGGCACCAATAATGCAGAATATTCTTTATTTGCATTATGTCACCATATTCTTCGGCTTTCATTGAAAGAGTTTGCCATCCGGTTAGCTCGGCACTAGCTTTGATGCATGACAGGATCATATCATTCTCCACCTCTTCAAAAGGATTCGCCCACTAACCCAAACCTTCTTTTTCTTCCCCATCGAACTCGATCTCTTGACTCTCATTTACCTCTTCCTGAACTATCGAATCAACAATTTCCAAATTTGCTTGAGTGTTCTCATCTTCAAAAGATTTACGAGTATCATCCATTCCAAGTGATGGAAAAGAATCACCCATTCTCTGCAATTCCTCGTAGTCCGACCACAACATGAATGGCTTATTCAAACAATCAATAGCAACATGACCAAAACCCAAACACCAAAAACATTTAGTTTCATCAATTCTATGAGACTTCAAAATTAAAATAACTCGTTCCTTCGTCTCGAATTGAAGCTTGGTTTTGAATTGATCTCTTTTAGGTCTTTGTAACGATTTTGCTACCTGGCTCGCTGAAGATCTCTATTGTGATTCCCAACTCGGCGAACGACATTCTTGTAACTTATTTACATGGATTGAGCGAATTGAGGACTTGGATGATCTACGATGATCAACCGAATCTCGCTCATAATACTCGGAATGAACTCTTCTTGATGTATACAATCTGGAACATCGTCCATATTCTCCTTCCTTGATGTGCAAA